TACACGAATATTCATCGCTTTCAGGATGGTTCATCGAATGATGAGTGAACGTATGCAGGCCATACAACGTGCGAATTACGTTTGAAATGAATCCACAGGGATAATAAACACAAGCCGTGGTAGTGCTACAAAGCACGGTTCCTTGAAAACATCTGCGGTAATACAGCTCTGCCTCAGTTGAAGCACGGCATTTTGAGGGAAAACATAGGTCGCCCTAATCCACAAACTGCAAATGGTTAGGCAGATCACGTAGGAAGCATTTAGAGAGGCTCATATCGTCCATGCGAATGATTATTTCACTCCAGCTGCAAGAGAACTGCTACACGTCGACTAAGGCAGAAAATTTGAATGACGGAATGTGCGCCCATATGTCATATGGAGGAGACCCAGCGAATGCCTTTGTTATGCACGGTAAGTAAGGACCAGAAAACATCATGAGGATAGATGGCAAAAAGGATTTGGGCATCTGGGTCTCCTAAAAATTGTCCTTCGCACTGCACCATGGCAAATCGACCCAGAAGGCATTCGCCATTCTACGGATGATCCGAAGCGCCTTCTCCCGAATTACTCGCATGGACTTCCAAATACTCTATGAGGCCTACGTCGGACCGCTCCTGGATTACGCCAGCCAAGTTGTCTACACAGGACGCACGAGAGGCATCACCCTCATTGAGCGTGTCCAGCGAGCCGCCGGCCTCGAATCCATGGACGACGAAACGCGTATCGCAATGTTTGATCACTTTCCCCGGGGGAGGGGATCTAATTCTTGCTTATGTCCTGTATGAACAAAGCTTGGCAAACAGGCTTTTTCACCGTTTATCTGGCAAACGTACGGCGGACAAATATTAAGAAAATTTTCAAGCTCAGAGCGCACACATTCATTAGAGAAACTTTGTTCACGTTTTGGGTAGCAGCTATGTGGAATGACCTTCCGCCGGAGGTTATCCATGGTCCTTATAGAACCCAGTTTAAAGCACTATTAGACATTTATTTATGCAAGCATACTCTCCCGCGATGAGAACATAAAGAGCAGTGCTACACCCTTCTTTCACTTGTACCTTTCAGGTGAACGACAGACATTGACCGGCAAGAACACCGCGGAACGTGAGTAAAAGCCTAGATCCTGGGTATCAGTCCGTGAATCCGTGAATCAGTCGTTTGGTTCCGGAGGTTGATTCGTGTCGTCGTTGGAAAGAAGCCAGTTGCGGCAAAAAGAGATCATTTTTTGTGGCAGTAGTCAAATATTCTCAAATAACAACCTGTTTCCCCTAATTATGCGCCCTCATTTTTCAACTGTGGTCTCCTGTGTATCTCAATAAATTTCCTCGCGCAAGCTTTCAGAACACTTTCGAAGGAGAAGAGTTTACAACTGCGTCAAATTGATTCACCAGGATACTCTGCAAGTGGCAGCGGCCAGACCGAAAAAAATTCTAGCTAATATCTCAACGTCTCTGAGGGCTCGAAAGACAACCAATGTATGAAAGTACCACGCGGATATCTGATAACGGACAGGTGAAAATTAGAACTGTCATCAGCTTATTCCTAGATTTGAGGAGTAATTTCAAGAAATCGGAAAAGGGCAGTTTGCAAAACACTAAAACGTAATCAAAATAGTTTTGGGAAGTGTCTGTTGAGAACTCTAACAATGAAATCGTATTTTTTGGAGTGTTTCATATCTAGAAAATTCACAGATAGACCTGGGTCTAAATACTTGGAGGAGTAGAACATTATCCTCGTTCATTTCACGAGTAAGCGTCCTACCTCATCCGCGTTGTTCCTTTCAGGATGCGATCGAACAGAACTGCTGATGAGATATCGCATTACTCTTGGGATGGCATAGCATGACATGCAGGAGCTCCCTAATTCGCTCGGACAACTCCGGTATAAATCATTTCAAATTATCTGACGCTTGATTCCAAAATGTGAGGCCAAATAATCATCTTCTAAAACTGAACCAGACAGCAATCTCTGTTAGCAGTCATGTGTCAGCTTCGAGATTAGTTCGGTGAATTTTGATCACATACCATGCTGACTGATGTTGTGTAAAGGCCATTTACAACCCCCTGTACAACGCAGACCAATCACCTTTTCCTGCGTGGGCAGGCAGGTCGTTTAAATGTTGGGACAAACAGCCAAGTATCTTTGAGGAACGCTAGATTAGGATGTTGGTTTTCTTTCTAACGGGCGTCATGATTTGTGTCCCGGTCAAACCGAGTACGACAAAGTAAGTTGAGAACAATTTCATCCATTGGTTTCAGTACATCATTGCATGGTGTATTATTAGAGAGAAATAAAAGAGAAGACACCCCGCCGTCTTCGATTGAACTGACGATTTACGATTCAAAGGTAGTTTACTGATTAGATCTTGCGTGTTCTCAATTGTTCTAGAGGTATTTTTATTACGGAATTTTTGGCGTAGGGTCCCCTCCACGCTATTTCAAATTAATGTTGGATACCGGATCACCAATTTTGTGGGTGCCGAGTGTGAGGCTAGAGCAAGAGCGACCGATGCTCAAGACCTCGTACGACCCGTTTGCATCGATGTCACACGTATTCACGTATAAAACAGTTTCCCTTCGATACGGGAATTACAAAGCCGATGGCGATATTTTTTCTGATCTTGTACAGGTAAGTGAGTCACTGCCCGATAGATCGCTACAAATCAATCGTCAGCTTAAGGGACGTTCATTTCGCACGGAGTTTTCTGCGGTGAACTCCATAGAGGGCAGCGTGGCGCAACTGTACACAGTTGACGGTCTCTTTGGCCTTTCGCTCAAACAGTTTCACCCAGAGATGCAGGCAACTCCACTGGATGATATGGTCTCCCAAAATGTGATTCCACGGCGCCAGTTTACTTTCGTCTTTCAAAAGTAAGTGTGTACTTTCAGCGAATTCTTCCAGCAAATTTTTGAGTAATTTTCAAAAAAATAATGCAATCAAATCGATTTTTTAATGACTCTGATTTTCTTCGAACAGCTGACATTCAAATTAACATTTGTGTGAGGGACAATTTTTAGGGGGAGAGATTTCCAGTCGACGGAAAATGTTTTACACCTTCAATTTCTGTTTGACTTATAACTTTGATATCCAAAAGCGCTGTCAGGGGCAGATAAACAGATACACTCGACATCTGTAAAGCGCAACATGGACACAAAACACGGGAGTTACAACCGACGGGGTCCCTGTGTACAGGATTTTATAGACCTCTGGGAGTGTACGGAATAACAGCAAGCTAAAATGCAGCAAGTGTGGGGAAGCTTGTCTGAGTTGACGGTTTACTGTTCCTTACTGACGAGCACCAATGAATTTTCACCCATGTGGACAAACAGCTATTTGTAAGGCAAAACACTGTACGGAAAAATGGGTAGGTAGATATTGCGAGCTCTTCCTAGAGTACATAAAATAATGGGGAATAACATGGCTGGCAAACCCACATAAACCATAAGAATTACAGGACTCAGCGTGTAGTTGATTTATTATCAAGTGAACATCTATCACAAGCCAGAAGATGAACCCGTCCACCGCTATTAATGGTTCATATCCAGGTAACAACACGAAGAGATGTTTCTCATAACCGGAGCAAAAGAAGTAAACACACTTGACTAAACCGCGGTGTCCAAAAAACCAAAAGTGTGTCTTTAAATGTGACATTACGGAAATGGACCTGTGAAACGTTCCTAACCGAACAGCCGTTTGACACATTATACGATTGCTGAGAGACGTTATTTTCCAAGTTGTTGCGTGGGCACCACAAAGACGCTTAGGCTGTCTGAGCTTCCATGGGAAACAGCTCGTAAAAGATAAAACGGTGATGTATATGTGCACTGAAACACAGCGTTCGGCAATGGTCTCTGTAGGAACTAAAGTACACCAGCATAAGGCGTGAATGTGAATGTAAGCAGAAGACCGATTCGATTGGCTGCGAATGAGAGTCGGGTTATTTTGCTCTGTTGCGAAATAGGAGTGACCTAAAAACGGATTTCTTTTCCGTGACGTTGGATATTCTCGCTGGAGTTTCACGCTGACACCAGTTGCTGTGACAAAACTCGTCACAAGTTTCCTATCAGAGACACTCAGTAGGTAGTAACGGGAACAGAAAAATTGTGAAGTGAAAAATTGTGTGCACTTTTGGAGCAAAGTAGCCAATGTCTCCATTTGCTCAACGAACGAAGCAAGCGTTGGTAGGCAAATATTTCTCAACGTGTCGCACCACTCCCCGTGTCGCTAAAAAAACCAGGCAGTTTCGTCGACTGGCGAACAAGAACTTTGTGAAAATGAGTGTGCAACCAGACGTCGGTGGGTACATCTCCTTAGGGCGATACAATGCGAGTTCAATTGTGAAGACAAGGATGGATTTGGCTATCAGCTACTAGTTTTGGAAGCAATCGTGTGACAATCATTTCATCCTAAACCAATGGTAATCCTTGGTTTGAAAAACTGACACTTGCACAAAACCCGGGTTTGCTCAAGTGTTCCTTCACCCGTTGATTCGTTAAAAAATTTCTCCGGACGTCAAGGACCGCTGGTTATCATCGTTCTACCTATCTGAGTTTCACACCATGCAAGCGTATATCCGCAAAACGACACATTTCGCGACGCTTAAACAATACATTGAGCGGGAGAATTTGGTCTGCTTCAGGCTCTTTCATAGACTAATAAACAATCAAGTTTCAGTATTTGCTATGGATGAAGCGCAAGCTAAAACGCATCATTAAAACTATCGGATATTATAGATAGCTCTAGGTAGACTCTCATCAAAATATATAACGGTAAATAACTATCGACAATCTAAATCCAAACTACTCATAAGGTCGATGAATCGTCTAAACAGTTTCATACCATTATCATCAAGTTTGGAGATCATCCTCGTACAAACTATTAATGCGGACTTATTGGTGTTGCAGAAAGTCAGCGTTGTTGGCTCATTTGAAACATTTTGAAATACTTTTGAAATGTCGGAGGCGCGCTAATGTTTTTGAGCATTTCAAATTACAAGAGTTCAGGGTTTTTTCATTGTCCCATTCATTTTAGAGACGGATCATCTGGAACGGTCATATTTGGAGACTTCACAAAGAAACATATTCCGGGTACCGTAAACTATGTTCCTGTAATTTGGAACGCTGGAAGAAAACACGAATGGATAATCAAGATTACAAGGTTAGTCTCAGCGGACGAACGTTTTCAGGTTTTTCTACATATTTCCAGGCTATTTTAATCCCGTTTTATCATCTGCAGCCAATTTTAAAGTGTGACTCGGTAGCCCAGGTGCCCTTGGCACAAACACGATGATTTCCGAAGCCAGCTACAAGCATTTGCGAATACTCTCAGAAGCTTCTTGACAATTTTCTTCTCAACTGATTGAGGCAAAATTGAAAGCAACATTGTCTGGAAAATTTTCGACTTTTCCGCCACGGACTGTGACATCGATTGGAATTTTTTCAAGTGGAACTTCTGAAAAAATATATATTTATTTCCAAATGTACATAAAACGTCAAACTCTCACAAGCGACTATAGTTTTGGTTGATTAGCTTTGAAGGCAGACTAGTAGCCTTCGTTAGGAAAGGTCAGGGGGCTTTCATTGCTAAACGAGAGCAAGGGAAAATGACGTGCAAATCAATATATTATCGGGTCAGCAATACATCGAAGGGTCGTAATGGCCGAGGTACAGTTGACCTCTTTGTTTAGGTGGTCACATTCTTTGGGGTGATTACGTCACCAGCCGTCACTGCCTGTTTCTTAATACTCGCTTGGCCTGGCCAAGTAAAGTTCACATGGAATCCGCGTGGATTCTTGGGGGATTAAATCAGGCACACAATGTTAACCAATGAAGGATGCTGTAATAGCTGACATCAGCTGGCTGTGGTCTTAATCTGCTCACAGGCTGTCTATGCTTGAGAAATTGCCCAATATAATTCTGGGCTTCTGGCGATACGTGGTCTTGATAATCTCCAAATTTTTCTAGCACTTATTTCACTGTTCTGGCCCAATAACTTCGCATAAACTATACATCACGTGAACAGTACACATGAACAGTAATAAGGGTCGTCTAACTGGAAGGAAAAAAACTGGACGTTATTTGAGCTATGAGGCTCCTAAATAAGTTAAAACCTACGCACCTTCAGGAAGGACATCTAGTAACATTAGTATTTGTACATTGCATTACATAAATCTAGATTATCCAGGCGTTCCGAACTTGGGACCAGATTGTATTTAGCCAACCGGCTTAAATTACTTTTAGCTACGTCTACGAAAAACTCTTTGTCGACTGCATCATCGAAAATGGAGCCTTTCAGGTGAAGGATTCGTTTGACACCCAACTGCCATTCAACACGGAAAATACACGAGGACTGACATGATAAAAGTTCGCCCAGATATAGACTAGGGTAATCAAACAGACAGGATTCCAAACACAGAGCTACCGGTTAGATATTTCTCCCTCCTAATTTTGAACTTAATTCGCTCTCATAAGTTATGTCGAAGAAATATGGATGAGGCCAAAGGGTGCACAAATGATGGAGCAAAAGTAGCTGGAAGTAGTTTGATGAGCGGAGTGTTAATATGTGAATATTAGGTGTTCCTTTGCAACCTAGACGGTCGTATTGATAATAAATGGATTAAAATTGCCACCAGGTACAGAGGTTAACTGGGTCAACTCAACATCCCAGATAGTTCATTTCCCGAACAGTATTGCTCAAGTTTCAGATGGGTGCGCCACGCGATAGAAGGCAGAGGTTATAAACTAGTATTCTCTGTCTGTATCCGTGATGATACGGTCGACGGACGCTCCATTCCTACATATGAAGCCATTTTCTTGTGTTCGTATTTCGCAACCCGCTTGCCTTCATCATCCGATTGGACTGATATCCATTCACCACAAAAAACTTGGTTGTCCCCTAGAGCCTTGTCCTCTGAATTCGGTCCGCTTATATCAGCTTTAGGGTCTGTCAAGCAATATTGCAAAAGATTTCAATTATAGAGACTGTTCAACCACTCTAACACACTAAAACCCACCGGCCGACACCCAACAGAGATCTAGCTTGACTTAGCTGATCGGTTCTCCTTCCGCCTCAAATCTCGACCAAACTCGGAACCTAGTCACTTGGCTTGACGAAGCTTTTGTGTCAAAACGTTGCCCAGCAATAAATCTACCGATGGTCACCAAACTGTTTCGAAGACCAGCCTCCTGTTTACCAGTGACCATTTTCAACTGACACGCTTTATTGCTTACTGCCTCTAATAGACCCCACACATGTCTAAGCATCAAGGCTAGGAAAATCAAAATGATTACGCGTTACGAATTACGTGATGAATTCCTCTTTTTCAGTATTACGTTGGAAGATGATGGCAACATCCTAGCAGCGGACCTTTCGGCACTGATTGACACCGGGGCCTTCAGAACATATCTACCGATATCATTTAGGAATAATCTTTTTGCCGGCGTTTGGAAACAAATGGACTTGGGCAATAACGTCGTACGATGCGACGCGAGGAGTCGAATGCCAACCCTCCTGGTAAATCTGGAAGGCCACCAACTAAAATGGGAACCAAACCAATACATTGAGCAGGTGAGAACCCTGTTTGGACGTGAACCGATGATGCCACCCTCGGTGGAGTTCGGTGTATAAATCTGTTTGAACCTAAAATAGGATTGCGCATCTGCCCAACACACGTAGGTTTGTTTTCCTTGTCGCTAACACCTCCTGTTCCACAAGAAGTATGTTTAAGCTTTGCTGTCCGGTCACTGAATCACCACTATCCTGGGCACGGCAATTTTTTTCAGGAACGTGCTGCTTGGCCTCCAGGTCAACAAGCATTTAAATGTTTGCACGTACAATAATTCTGCAATCGCACATATGATCCGCTCCCCGGCTAATTTCGTCCAGGAGCCGAACAACAGTGTGTTGTCCGTATTCTCGTAGCATTGATCCTAGTTGGACAATCTCACGTTGTTTTCGTTTTGTTCAACCAGCTTGAAATAGGACATTGTCGGTCACTGGTCGAGGGTGCGGAACTACGGTTGACATACGACGCAATCGTTGGTCTCTCGTTTCTGCGGCATTTCTCCGTGGTGTACGACGTAGACAATGAACGAATCGGATTCGCCGAACCGATTTGAAAGACTCCGTTCCAGAACTCGCGTTTTCTTTGACATTTTGATGCCTTTCTCACAGAAATTCAAGTCTATTTGAACAGAACTTAGCAATTAGATTGTGAATTCTGACAAACGGAGTAACTTATGAAGAATGGGTGGCATGGATTTATTACAAAGGAGTTGTAACGAACTTTGACGGGAACAGGCGTGGTACAAAACTGGTAAACCTGGTTTGGTAAAGACAAGTGAAAATGAGGACTTTGTTGGACGCAATGGACGTGACATTGTGCGCGCAAAATACTGTGGGTCATGGTCAAAATAATGTCATGAGGTTGAAACAAGCAGGCATCTCAATAAATTTTCATCATCCCAAACGGGACATTTCTGATTAATTCATTGAAATCGATCTTTTGACAAGTAATTCATCAACCTTAAAGCACAATTCACCCTTTCCAAAAAGTAAACGAAGACTCATCCCTGAAGGTATGAGCTATTTGTTTGAATACTGTGTACCTTTATGTCTATTCAAAGTGTTGACGATGACAGGATGCTTTCTTAGCGGTTCCATCACTAGATGAATCCTATCTTTGAGTGTTCAGAGTGGCTGGTTAACCAACCAGCGGATGTAATTATCAACACACACATATGTCAAGCCAACCGATCACGTTCTACGGTGGGAAACGCTCTGAGATGATTTAGGAATTCAAGTCACTCTGGCATCTCGACTTTCGGGGGTGAAGAAATATCGTCTGAGTTAAGTGTGCCATAAATTGCGTTCACTCACGTGCGCACGCGATTACCAGAAACCTGAGGTCAGTTTCTGGGTAGATCCGACGAATTTCACTTTGGGTGAGATCGTATAACACAATGGCTTTCAACCACAAACCTTGACCTAAATATGTTGGACAATGAGGTAGCTATATTACCTTCTATAGACAACGCGCGTTATCCTATGAGATCACAATTCATTACTCCATTGGCTCAATACGGGATTTCATACCCTCATTTTAAGATTGATATCTTATTGTTATGCGTATCTTGTTGACCCGGACTCTTCGGCTCCAGGTACTGGGCAGCTACCTGCCATTGGACACGAAAGTAACCACCCCATTCTTATGTATCCTCTCGAACTTTTGTGGTGGACAGCTATTGCAAAGCCGCTGTATAATTTCCGTATTTTTCTTCACCTTCCGTGCTGCTGCGGGGCCTGGATATCAATCCATATACTACTTACACGCTTCGGTATTAGTGTACACTTACGTACAGATACTGAAGCCACAGCGCCCTTCAGTTGTCACTCATTGATCTGATTTCATTTTTTTAAAAATACTCCTTCTCGATTGTACATTATCATTGGCATTAGATGGACCGTGTCTCTGGTTTTCCCACCTCAAATTATGGGAACCACATGGTTCGGGAATGAAAGCGAATTCATGGTGAACTCCATCTCCATTCCAAACTAAAAAACCCCGGCTTGCCATAACTGATTTGTTCAGGCGACGAGACGACATATTCAACGGGCACTAGAGTCCTGCAAATATTTCGGCTTCAAACTAGCTTTCGTACATACTCCGCGACACTGAAGAGGAGGCGTCGAGAATTCTTCACTCACGTACTGTTTCTGAGAATGGGTAACCAAGGCTGGAAAGCTTTCGGGTGTACTGTATTACTCAGCCAAATAGCTCTGCTTCTGGATGTAGTAGTTGTGTGTGGTGTGGGTCGATCATAAAATACCGCCCTCTTGTGTTATATGTCTCCACGTTGCCACGTTGCAATAAGAATGCTCGCAAGTGCTCTTCTAACGAAAGCCTGAAACCGCATTGCAACTTGGTTTGGTGCACGGGTGACTGTAAATGTGCGTTCAAAGTTGGGTGGTTAGGCCTTTTGAATTCAGCCCTCGTGCGTTCCTCTGACTCATTTTCTTTAAGAGAAATCAGAACCTGTCATCTCAAACATTTACGCCTCGCAGGCGTGAACACAATCACATTGCAAACAAGATAACTCGGATGTTTCTAGCTTGATCCAGCTTGCCCCTCTTTGTCTCTTGACTTCTGGAATTCCAAACCCGGTAATATCGTTGCTGTTGCTCAAGCCGGAGCGCAATTCGAGCCCTGCGCTTTTAGTTTCGCCGTAAACTCACCGGAGTGGTTGAAGCACGACAGGAGGAATACCGTTCAGATAACAGTGCTGTAGAGGCGAAGCCACCTGAAAACTTTGTACAAACTCCGTTAACCCTTATTGTGCAGCCTACCGCTTTGTACTTGATTCGATCTGTTACTAGTACAACCTGGTCAGCGGATAAGGCTTTCCAAAAAAATTTACCTGAAGCGTCTCATCAGGTAACTCACGCGACTTGCCTAATACTTAATATGTTGACCTCAAAATTACCTTTGACGAACATCGTCGTCTCACTTGTCTAACCGTTGGTATCGAATTTGGTTAGGCTGGTCGGGAAATTTTGTACGTCATTTATTGTATTGCGTGCGTTACTATTTTCATAGGTCTCAATGACGCACAGGACTCATGTATGATTTAACGTACGGCTATACGTGTTAGCATACATTAGCAGACTCGATGATGAACCATGAGGCTTGCTTCGAAGGGACAACTAATCGATAGATGCCTCGCACAGCAGGGGGCTCTGTGTCATCGTTAGTTTTGCACAGATGGAATACAGCGAAGAAATTTCGTTTCATATTTTCTCAGCCTGAAATGTAATATTTCAAGAGTTTTGCGCTTGCACCATTTAGAATATCTATCAGAACATTGAACATTCTCTGATATAACTGTCTGCTTGTTATGAATTGAACGTGATGTCTCAGAATCAGAAAAACCTGGCGGTCCGTTGACTCGCTAGGTGGGATTGTTTGCGTAACTTCTTGACAAGGGAGGAAACAAGCTAGAGGCTGCAAAAAAGCTTGGCTAAATTTTATTCTCCTTATTTCACGATTTCCCCATTCCGTACAAATCTGTCCCGTCCGGTTGCACGCATGGCGGTGTCTACTACTACTGCTGCATCTGTGTAGTCTATGGACTAGTGTCCGAGCTCAGGCCCACATTTCACGACTGCTGCGTTTGTTTTGTATTCTGCGGCACCGCTTTGTATTGTTCGCTCAACACTGTCTGCTAGCCACTAAAGTCTTGAAGATTCCAGGGGGACACGTGAGAACGCTCAAAATTTCTAATTGCTGTCTAAATGCTAGCCCGATGCCGATGGGCTTTCTTGGTCTCCCAAGCAGCGAACAAGTTGCGGCTTGGTGGCTTGCGGCCAGAATACTTGGTCCTTCGATTTATAAATTCGTTCACAGGGCTGCTGGAGTTTTGTTGATGGGTGAATCTGGTCATTTGTGACGGATTTAGATTATCTTGTATTACCGGGGTTCAAATACACTCTGTGGATCTGACTGGAAATTGCCGCGAAAACCCATTGCACTTCACCTTATGTGATCAGCATCAAATGATTCTAAAGCTTTTCCTCACCCCATTCATAAGACTACTCGTAGTGCGCGCAGCCCACACGCGCCTAAAGTGAGAAAACGTCAAGTTCAGATCTGTTTATTAGCCACCTGTGCATCCAGCGAGTGGGAGGCCTCGTGGTGAGATATTGTAGGAGAATTCAAAGCAGCTGAGAGCAGTGCCTGAATGATTAAGCCGCGGTTCTCTTGACCCATCACGGTGCTTGCAAGGTGGACGGCGTGAAGTAAAACCTCCAAGAAGGACGCTTAACTCCGCTAACCGCATGTTTATTTTACACATGCTGTTTGTCCTTTCCAAGGAAAGTACGGGTGTGGCATGTGGATTGTACAGAATCATTGTAGTCAATTGAGAAGAGAGATGTAGCGAATAATGCATTGCAAATTTCCAATTGCGTCTGGAGACAACTGCATAGATACATTGGGATAACAACACTATAAATTCGGGTACACTAATAGCCCGAATAAGTCATCTTTTGCCTAAGAATTTGCCTTATTTTGGAGAGGGTACCATTCCAAATAATTTAATTTCGTCTTTGAAAATTCGTCAACTGATCGCAAGTTTTTAACAGGGCTGACGGCTGCTGGCACGATGCACATATATGAACAACTGAGGCTATCGGATTTACTGATTTACGGATTAATACACAGGATCGAGGCGTTTACCTAAGTTTATTGGGTCGCCTTTGTTCTAGTCGGTCGGTGGCTGTCCTTCAATTGAAAGTCACAAGTGAAAAAAAGTGTAGCACTGCTCTTTATTTTCTCAGCGCGGGGCAGTATGCTTGCATAAATAAATGTCTAATAGTGCATTAAAGTGGGTTCTAGAATGAGCGTGGACAACCGTCGGAGGGAGGTCATTCCACGCAGCCACCAACTGAAATGGGAAAAAAATGGTCTTATGAATGTGTGCATTCTGAGGTGAAAAAATTTCTCACTATGTCCCGGCCGTGTGTTTGTTGGGTCAACGGTGAAGAAACTTTTTGCCAAGCAACGTTCAAACAGGGCGTAATTAAGAATTAGTTTCTTTAGGAGGCGATGGCACTTCAGGTTGTGCGTGATGTGACAGCCCAAGGAATCAATGCTAAGTTGAGAATCATGCTGAATACCGTGTGCCTGACACTCAGCTGGATGTCCAAATTGAGGAGGTATGAAGCGCAAATACTCTTGCGTAGAGTGAACCAAACGTTACGGATGAACGAGGTGTACTCATACAAGAGACTACGAGCGAAATTATCAGAGCACTAATTCCATTAAGATCACGCTATAAAAGTAAATTAGATTAAGTTAGATGTTCGTGGGCAATAACGCATAGGATTTTCAAAGGGATAAAAGAAGGATAGTATTTCATTCCTCTGAAATATATTGTGAAGTTAATTATTTACTAAACACTCGGCGCTGATCAAATCCGCAAAGGGATGACCTATGAGAGGTGCCCGTAACGTGATATTGAACTGAATAAAGTTGTAAGCAGTCGATCGACTGAGCTGAGGTCAGCTATATTAGAGTCCACCAGATGGAATTTCTGGGGTAGCCATTCATCCAAAAGGATTT